GGCTCGGCCGATCCTTCTCATCTTCGAACTCGACCGAGATATTGTAAAGACTGAACTGTGTAGAAAATTTCATCGTGATCGGACTCTCCTTTCGAAAGTTATCGTGTAAACGGCCGGCCGGCCGGCCGGACATACTGACCGATTCTAGAGTGTACTCACTTTTTGAGTACACAAAAAAAGATATTTTGAGATTAAAATAATAACTTTGTTTTTATCAAAAAGGACAAAATGATTGACTTAATTTGGCACAATTTGAAGGATCAATTGATGAATCAGATTCTATTGATTGTGTATGTAATGTATTTGAACAAGCATATAAAACAATTTGAACAGTAAATGATAAAAAAGAACGTTTAGTGCTTATTGAATATTGGCTTGATTTTGAAAAATAAAATAAACAAAATTACAAAAACTTTATTTCATTTTATTTTACTGTTATGAAAAAGATGAGGTGCAGTAGAACATGTGTCTCATGTTCAGAAATATCTATCTAAACATATTAAACAACGTCGAACGATTCTCACTGAACATAGAATTAGTTTATGTTTGTCATTTTTTTTCTATTTTAAAATGTTGTTTTTTTTTGTTTAGATAAATCCAGGTTAATACGAATAATATAAGGAACTTATTTTTCTTGATGATGAAACTATTCAACTTCATTTGAAACTATTAGTGATGGCTAAACAATGGCAAAAACAACGAAATGAAGTTTCAAGATCAACAAATGAGACTATAAATGATAAAAATGAAAACAACAAACATTTTATATTAAATAAGAATAAATATAATCATATATCTGTTTTAGTTGAATCATCTGCATCAATATCAACAACAAGAACAGTTATTGAAAGAAGTTGAAGAAGATTTGCAATTATAAACATCTTCTTTACCATCATCAATGAATAAATATTCAAAAATATCATCAATATCAATATCAGAAAAACAATCATTATCTGATTTAATAAAATAACCGTCAATCATGGCATCTATTGTTAGTAGTGAAAATAATAATACAAGTTTATTTCGATCAATAACAACAAAAGAAAGATAAAAAAATCTATTTCATCTGTTCTTGTTAATTTTAAAACAACAAGAACAAATAATTCAATAACTGATCTTAATGCATATAGAAAATCAAATGATATTAAATCATGAACATCATCCACGCACATATGGGTTCAATTGGTTAAATATGTGATTCATGTTGTTTAACAACATCATCACAAAGTTCAGGTTAAAAAGAAAAAATTTTCTTTTTAAATTTTTCTCCAAAGACAATAATATATACATGACAACTTATCGATACTTTTCCACTAAATAAAGAATCATAAAATCGTCATTTATACTTCTGACATCTTTTCATTATTAATTAAAAAGATCTAAATATTTTTATTCAAAACAAAACTAAAAGAAGGTTAATCTTTCGTTTGAAATTTTTGTTTCATACTGATTGAATGTTTATGTAATATAGTAAAACCTCTATTAGAGGATATCTCTCTATTCTGAACTTGAATATTATTTTCCTTATATCGATTGCTATAATAATCTCTTAAATGAATACATGTGGACTTTTCTCTTTCTTTTCTTCGTCTTTTCTAACCGATGCACTACAACTGGTCCTTATTTATTCTATTCATTGTTTACTATATGTATGCACATCCAGCAACAATGATTTGCTGATATGACCTTATATTAAACAAAAACATTCTTTTTGAAAAGTTTTTTCTTCAAATTAATAAATACCAAAATGTTTTTTATATTTAAGGCTATTTTTCATTTTAGTTTAACATTCTTGATTATGTTTGCAAGTGGTTTAAATGTAGGTGATAATGATTATAGTAAAGTAGTGAGAAACTTCTCTTTTTATTTTTCACTGCAACCTGTTTCTTTATTTTCAGATTACAGATTTGAAACAGAAACAACAGAACTATCAAGATCAACTTA